CCTGTTGAGGCATGATCCCTGTCCAGGTGCTTCCTGAGTGAAGGCAGGGCGGGTGCCTGGGACCCAGGGCAGGATTCTCATTGGCTCAGCTAGATCATGTGAGCATGAGGTGGGGGCTGGGCTGGCCTCAGTGCAGGGGGGGGGACGGGATGGAATCTAGCTCATCCCCCCCCCTCACATTTGGGGAAACTGAGGCAGGAGAAGTCTTGCGGCCCAGCCTGGGTCACACAGCTGCACAGCAGGGAGAGGCCTTGACCCAGCTCCTGGTCACTCTGCCCTCTCCAGCTTCCATGGCAGAGAAGGAGGAGGTCTGTGTCGGAGCGGTGGCTCAAGTGGTAGAGCACTAGCCTTGAGCACAAAAGCTCAGGGACAGCCAGGCACCAGTGGCTCACACCTCTAATCTTAGTTACTCAGGAGGCTGAGACTGAGGATCACAGTTCAAAGCCAGCCCGGGCAGGAAAGTCCATGAGACTCTTTTTTTTTTTTTTTGTCGGTCGTGGGGCTTGAACTCTGGGCCTGGGCGCTGTCCCTCAGCTTACCACTTGAGCTACAGTGCCACTTCCGGTTTTCTGGTGGTTTATTGGAGATAGGAGTCTCATGGTCTCTCCTGCCCGGGCTGGCTTTGAACTTCCATCCTCAGATCTCAGCCTCCTGAGTAGCTAGGATTACAGGTGTGAGCCACCGGTGCCCGGCCGGTCCATGAGACTCTTATCTCCAATGAACCACCAGAAAACTGGAAGTGGCGCTGTGGCTCAAGTGGTAGAGCACTCACCCTGAGCTGAAGAGCTGAGGGACAGCACCCAGAGTTCAAGACTTAGGACAAGCACATTTTTAAAAAAAATAAAAATAAAAACAGGGCTGGGATGTAGCTCAGTGGCAAAGCGCTTGTCTAGTAAGTGCAATGTTCTGGGTTCGATCCCCAGTACCAAAAAGAAAAGACAAAAAAAAATACAGTTAAAAAAAATAAAAAAAAATTAAAAACAAAAAATCCTTAGAGAAACTTCTAGATCCAGCAGAAGATCCCTGCCCTCCCCCCCCCCCCCCACCCCAGCTTTGTTTCCATGCCCTCACAGGGCCTGTTGGAAAAGGAGGGGACTTTCTGTCTTATAGGCCAAACACCTTCTCCTCCAGATGGGGAAATTGAGGCTCCAAAGCCCAGAGATGGACAGGCCGCTCCCTGGGCCGGCCAGGAGAGGACTCTGCGTCCCTGCCAGCGACCAGGAAGGCCCCGGCCCACAGTGCCATAGGCAGGAGAGGCCCCCCCCCCCCCCCCCCCGCCTCACCACCAGTCAGGTTAATTTAGGGCCCCCTCACCAGGCCCAGGCCCCTGAGTGTGGACAGCCCGGACAGGCTCGCTCAGGGCACCGAGGGGAAGTATTTTGCGAGTCAGTCTAATTGTCTGCTGCCAGGGCTCTGACTCCCCCCTGCTGCTTCTAGAAGCTGGCCTCTGTGGCTCGGGTGGGGTATCTCCTGGAACCCCAACCCTTGGGGGCCGCGCCGGACCCCAGCTGCAGGGCAGGAGCCTGGCAATGCACCACGCGAATCCAAGACGGGGGGTGGGGATACAGAAACAAGCCCCTCCCAGCTGCCCCCCTGGGGGGAGGCAGTGGCTCCAGCTTGGGGGGGTACAGAGGGGAGCCCCCCAAAACCATGAGTAAGTTACAGGGTCGTACAGATGCAGGGAGGCGGGTGTGTGTGGACCAGGCCAGGATCCATGGGCCCAACCTAGTGGGGGGGGCAGGGGAGCAGCATCTGGGGTCCCAGGATACTGAGACAAATCCCTTAAGCCAACAAGCCGGAGGGGTCCCCTGGGGAACACTGCAACTTGGGGTTCTGAGGGGGCATGCAAAGGCTCCCCAGCCTCACTTAGATGGTTTCAGATGTTGCTGGAATTTGGCAGGATGGCACTGGGCAGGTGCATGGTCACGCACTGAGATTCCTAGGCTGACATTCTCCCCCACCCCTCGCATGTTGCCCAGCCCCCCCAGCCTGTACTCCCCCCAGGTCCAAAACTCACTCCTCGCTGTAGCTGGGAACCACTGAGGATTCTCCTGGTGGCGAGCAGGCGGCCCAGTCTGGTCTCTACGCTGTTGCTGTTTTGGGGTTCAGTGGTACTGGGGATCGGAGCCCAGGCCACTTGCTTGCTGGGCGGGCCCTCCACCACCTGAGCCACGCACCCCAGGCCTTTTGCTTCTTTGTGATATAGGGCCTCATGCTTTTGCCTCTGTCTCTTTTGGGGGGGGGCCCAAACTCTGGGCCTGGGCGCTGTCCCTTAGCTCTTCAGCTCAAGGCTAGTGCTCTACCACTTGAGCCACAGTGCCACTTCCGGCTTTTTTCTTTTTTCTTATGTGGTGCTGAGGGATTGAACCCAGGGCCTCATGCATGCAAGGCAAGCGCTCTACCACTGAGCCACCTTCCCAGCCCCTGCCTCTGTCTCTTGAGTAGCTGGGAATAGAGGCCTGCCTGGCGTGCCCATGTGTTCAAAGATGGAGTCATGCTAACTTTTGCCCAGACTGGCCTCCAACCATGCTGCTTCTGTCCCCCATCCCCTCCCCTGAACCCCACCCTCCTCCACCCCGCTCCAAGATCCGAGATTTACCGGCCTGTGCCAACACAGCCAGCCCTGATCTTCCAGCTCGTGAATGTCTAGCTCTCAAAGCCCCAGTCCTGCTGTCCGTCTACCCAGCCTCAAAACCCATCCCACCCCATCCCCCTCCCAACGCCCCAGCTGGGGTCTGTGCCTCAGTTTAGCTTCTGCACGTCTGTCAACTTGGTGTGCCATGAAGCCCTTCAGAGTCTCCTCACCAAGACAGAAGGCTGAGCCCCAACTGCCCGCAGCCTGGGGTACACGGGTGCCCCCGCCTGGTCAGAACCCCAGTCCTGTAGGGGGCCTGCTGCACCCTCCCCCATAATACTAGTGCTACCTTGTCACAGGCCATTGTGGGGCTTGAAGCCGGGCGCTGGTGGCTCATGCCTGTAAATCCTAGCTACTCAGAGGCTGAGATCTGGAGGACTGATTTGAGGCCAGCCCAGGTGGGAAAGTCTGTGAGACTTCGTTCACCCCCCAAAAAGTCACGCTGGAGGCATGATTCAGGTCTTAGAGTGCCAGTCAGGTGAGCGAGAGAGGCCCTGAGTTCAGGCCCCAGTAGTGGAACACACACACACACACACACCAGTTGGCAAGAGTTATTTATTTAGTGGTGTTGGGAGTGGAACCTGGGGCCCGTGCATGCTGGGCAGGAATGCTAGCCTTGAGCAGCCCCAGTCTCATTGGTTTTGGGTTTTAGTGTGTGTGTGTGTGTGTGTGCGCGCGCGCATGCACGCTGGTTCTGGGGCTTGAATTGAAGGCCTGAGTGCTTTCTCTGAGCATTTTCACTTCAGGCTAATGCTCTACCACCTAAGCTTCACTTCCATCTTTTCTTTTCTTCTTCTTCTGGGGATTCATTGGAAATGGGAATCTCACAGACCTTCCCACCTGGGCTGGCTTGGAACTGTGATCCTCAGATCTTAGCCTCCTGAGTAGCTGGTATTACAGGCGTGAGCCACAGTGCCAGGTTCAGGATTGGTGCATGAAGACTTCACAGCCTGGGGAGAGGAAGAGGCCTCCTGTATACATGTTCCAGCTTCGGCGTCATGTGCAAACATGCACTCATGTGAGGCCCAAGGAATTCCTTTTGAAAGTCAGGAGTGTGAGATGTCATGACTTGAATCCAGCACTATGCTGTGGGTCCAATACCTTGAATTATTTTTATTTTTTTGTCAGTCATGGGGCTTGACCTCTGGGCCTGGGCGCTGTCCCTCAGCTCTTCAGCTCAAGGCTAACACTCTACCACTTGAGCCACAGCGCTACTTTTGGTTTTCTGGTGGTTTATTGGAAAGAAGAGTTTCACAGACTTTTCTGCTCGGGCTGGCTTTGAAATGTGATCCTCAGATCTCAGCCTCCTGAGTAGCTAGGGTGACAGGTTGAGCCACTGGCCGCCTGGCTTGATTTTATTTTTTATTTTAATAATTTTTTGCTTGAGTAACTATGCCTTTTGTCATATAGCTTTCCAATCTGTTTACATATATTGTTTGTCTGTTTATTTGCCGATCCTGGGGCTTGAACTCAGCCTCTCTGCTCAAGGCTAGCGCTCTGCCACTTGAGCCGCAGCACCACTTCTGGCTTTTTCTGTTTATGTGGTACTGAGGAATCGAACCCAGGGCACCAGGCTCCACTCCCAACACCACTAACTCATGAATGCCAGGCAAGCACTCTACCACTAAGCCGCATTCCTAGCCCCGTTCACATATATTCTTAACTCTTGAGATGAGATAATCCAAGGAGCTGGCACCGCTGGCTTGAGCCTGCAGCCAGGATGCCAGGCATGCCCTCCCTCCTCCCCCCCCCGCTGCCCCCTCCTTTCTCACCACACACACGCCTCCTCCCTGGACACTGCGGCTCTTCAAGTGAGAAGCTAGGTGTCTTGTGTTTCATTCATCAGCGAAGAGATACCGAGTTCCTGCTCTGTGACTGCGCTGTCACCAATGGGCAAAAGAGACACAGACATCCCCCTCCCCTCCTGACTCTCACAGGTTAAAGGTCCCAGCTGTGGGCTAAAAAACACTGAGAATCGTTTTTTGCTGTGGCTGCTCATAGGTCTGCAGGTTGCAAGGAGGGGCCTTGAGGTAGGGCCCTGAGGGATGAGTAGGAGTTTTGTTTTGTTGGGGTCCGGTCGTGGGGCCTGAACTCTGGGCCTGGGCGCTGTCCCTCAGCTCTTCAGCTCAAGGCTAGCGCTCTACCACTTGAGCCACAGTGCCACTTCCAGCTTTTATTCTTTTTTGCTTATGTGGTGCTGAGGAATCGAACCCAGGGCCTCATGCATGCAAGGCAAGCGCTCTACCACTGAGCCACCTTCCCAGCCCTGAATAGGAGTTCTCCTCATACCTGGTCAGGCAGAGCCTGGTCCAGTGGCCATCCCTATTCCCAGGCTGTCCTCACCTTGGTTTTCCTTCTCTTGCAGAATGTATGAACTGCACCCGGCTCAGTGACATGAGCGAGCGGCTGACCACACTGGAGGCCAAGGTCAGCTCGGGGGGGGGGGCGCATGAACTCCGTGGAGCCCAGTGGGTCAGAGTGGCCTCGACTTCTGAGGCTTTGGGCCACCTTCTCAAGCTCAGTGGGGTTCCTGGGACAGAGAGACTCAAACAGCAAGAAACATGGATGCCGGGCGCCGGTGCTCACGCCTGTAATCCCAGCTATTCAGGAGGCTGAGATCTGAGGATCACAGTTCAAAGTCAGCCTGCACAGGAAAGTCTGTGAGATTTTCATCTCCAATTAACCACCAGAGAACCAGAAGTGGCGCTGTGCCTCAAGTGGTAGAGCGCTCGCTTTGAGTGAAAAGGCTCTCAGTAGGCACTGGGTGCGGGTAGGGGTGGTGGAGCATGAGGCGGCGTGCCAGGGGGGGGGTGGGCACAGCTGTGGCTCCTGTACCAACTGCCTGGCCTGGCCAGGCCGGGGGTGGGGACCCCCAGCTTTCATCCAGGCATGGGGCGGGGGGAGCAAGCCCAGGGAACTTAGGGGCCGGAGGGGCTGAAGGCAGGGAGGATCTGGGCCACGGGATCCCCTCCCCTCCTCCACACGCTCCCTGCAGAGAGCTGGAAGGGGAGGGGGGCCAGGGACCCCAGCTTTGTCTTTATCTCTTCTGAGTTGGGAGGACAAATCCTGGGAGGCCAGGGCCCTACTTTTTTTTTTTTTTGTCGGTCATGGGGCTTGAACTCTGGGCCTGGGCGCTGTCCCTCAGCTCTTCAGCTCAAGACTAGCGCTCTACCACTTGAGCTACAGCGCCACTTCCGGTTTTCTGGTGGTTTATTGGAGATAGGAGTCTCATGGTCTCTCCTGCCCGGGCTGGCTTTGAACCGCGATCCTCAGATGTCAGCCTCCTGAGTAGCTAGGATTACAGGCGTGAGCCACCAGCACCCGGCTTAGGGCCCCACTTTTCTGTTTTACCAATTGTGTCACCCTCTTCCCACCCCAGCCGCCCCCCCCCGCGGTCAGATCCCCAGACAGAGCAGGGGACACACTGCCAACATCGGGGAGCTGCCAGTACCGCCTGAGGCGGTCTGTCCGTGATGGGTGGCATCCAACGGCTCAAGTTGGGGGTCCTGGGGAGAGTGCAGAGTGACGGGGCGAGGATGGGGGGCTCGCGGGGCCGTGTCCCCCTGTGCAGCCGCCAGCCAGGCCCGACGCTCCATCCTCCCCCAGGTGCTCCTGCTGGAGACACCCGTGCAGCCCTCCAGCCCCGACAACCACCTGCCGGCCCCCCGCAGCAGCCCGCCACCCTGGAATGAGGACCTCCTCCCGGACGCCATTCCCCTCGCCCACCCCGGGCCCTGGAGGAGAAGACCCACCGGCCCCGAGGGTGAGCGGGGCCCCGGGACGGAGGGGCCAGCCACAGGGCCTGGGCTGCACGCGCACATGTGCACATGTATGCACACATACACACACACACACACACACACACACACACACACGAGGCCCTCCAGAGATAGAAACCTATGGGGTATTTGGAAACCGAGCTAACACAAAAAAGAAGAAGCTGGGAAGGTGGCTCAGTGGTAGAGTGCTTGCCTTGCATGCATGAGGCCCTGGGTTCGATTCCTCAGCACCACATAAGCAAAAAAAGTCGGAAGTGGTGCTGTGGCTCAAGTGGTAGAGCGCTCGCCTTGAGCTGAAGAGCTGAAGGACAGTGCCCAGGCCCAGAGTTCAGGCCCCACGACCGACCAAAAAGAAAAAGAAGAAAAACCTAGGAATTTCACAGAAAAGCAGGAGTTTCCCATTTTTCTTCATTAAAAAACAATAACAAGAAAACACAAAACTTCAGCCAGACCTCTGGTGGCTCACGCCTGCAATCCCAACTGCTCATGCAGCTGAGATCTGAGGACTGAGGTTCGAAGCCAGCCCAGGCAGAAAAGTCCATGAGACTCATCTCCAATGAACCTACCAGAAACCGAAGTTGGCGCTGTGGCTCAAAGTAGCAGAGCACTAGCCTTGAGCACAAGAGCTCAGGGACAGCATGGGGGCCTGAGTTCAAGCCCCACAACCCACCAAAAAAGAAATTGTGATTATGAAGGCGACGCATCCAGAATCTCAATTACGTCAAAGATGAAAACACTGGGCCTGTATGCGGGGCAGATAGGGGTGACAGTGTAGGTCATCGGTGACAATTGGCAGAGGTCAGTGCACACAGCAGAGCTGGGAGGGGAGGGGAGACCCCTGCCACAGCCCAAGCCCCACCCCTCAGAGCCTGGAGGGGGGCCTTGAGGACCCTGGCCTTGACACCTTGCCAGGGAGGCGCAGTTCCAGGCATGGACACCAGGTGGCGCACCCCTCTCAGGCGGGAATTTGAGCAGTAGGGGCTCCCCCAGCCAAGTCCTTGTGGCTCAGGGTGACCCCTGGCTGGGCAGGAAGCGTCCCAGACCCCCTGTCCTGTTAGATGTCCCAAAACTTGGAGGCCTTGGGGTCGCCATTGAGGGGAGGGGGAGCCTGGCTCTGCAGCCTTGAGCGGGAGACCTGGATTTTCTGAGCCTCAGTTTCCTACATGTGAAATGCACTTTGGAGCAGAGTTGGAGGGGGCTGGGGAGCCTGGCTTCCAGTCAGATCAGTTCTCAGGTGACCTCTTCCTCTTTCCAGGGCCTCCCGGGCCTGCAGGACCCCCAGGCTCCAAAGGTGATCGGGGCCAGGCAGGAGAGAAGGGCCCCGCGGGGCCTCCAGGTAAGCACGCCGCCCCTCCCTGCAGCCCAGCCTGCACTGTCTGCACGGCCCCTGATCGGCCTCAGAGCAGGCCCTCAGTTTCCCCTCCTGTGCTGTGCCTGGCCCCCACCTCGGAGATGCCTCTCCTCATTTCAGGGCTCCTAGGACCCCCGGGGCCCCGAGGGCTTCCAGGAGAGATGGGGCGCCCCGGCCCCCCAGGACCTCCCGGCCCAGCAGGCAGCCCTGGAGTTCTGCCCAGCAGCCCGCAAGGAGCCCTCTACTCCCTGCAGCCCCCCCCAGACAAAGACAGTGAGTGGCCCCAGCTCCCTGTGGGGGACCCGCCCCCCTCGTCCCCCACCATGGACAGGACCCCCCCCCCCCATGGGCAGCGAGGACCACCTCTGAGTGCTGAGACCTGAGCCCGGATCACATCTCCCTCCCAGTCTCAGTTTCCCCATCTGGCAAGGTGGCCGTGGGAGGGGGCGGGGCGGCCCCTGGGTGGGAGCGGTGGGGGCGGGGGAGGCCTCACGCTCTGCTGCCCACAGACGGGGGCGCGCAGCTGGTACCTGCCATTGTGGACACGGTGCTGACGGGCATCCCAGGGCCCCGTGGGCCCCCCGGGCCTCCAGGTGAGTGGACTGGAGCTGTGGGACTGGGTGTGTGCACCTGTAATCTCAGCAACTCGGGACAGAGATCAGGAGGATTGCAGTTTCAGTCAGCCTGGGGAGGGGGGCTGGACAACAACTTAGTGAGACCCCATCTCAATCCATAAGCCTGGTACAGCAGTGTGTGCTGTCATCCCAGCCATCTGGGAGATACACATGACTATTGCAGGTAACCAAGCCTGGAGGGGAGGCTCCTGGCTTCCAGGAAGGCGGCGGCTAGACTGGCTCCCGGCCCAGTCTTGGGGGGGAGGGGGTGTCTGAGACCCAGGTGGGCTCCACGTGGACGAGGCTGTGGTGGAAGCTAGTGGTGGGCCAGGAGAGTGGGGGGGGCAGAGCTTTCCTCATTCCCCAGATGTCAGTCACCAAAGCATGCCTCCTCCAGGAACTCAGACCCAGGGTGGGTGCTGGGTGCGAGGTGGGGAGGACCTTCTTGGCCTGGAGGGGGCGGGCAATGGGCTGTGCTGGCCCAGGTGACCGTTGCTGACTGCCCTTAGGTCCACCGGGCCCCCCAGGAGCTCCTGGACCACAGGTGAGGACCTGGAGCGGAGTGGGCAGGGATGGGGGCACTGGACTGGGGTGGGCACGTGGGAGGGGGTGGGGCAGGGGGGCGCAGGGCCCTGGGCCTGCGGGGCAGTCAGCCCTATGCCCTGGGCTCCCTCTGCCCTGCCCCGCCCGCCCCCGCCCCCGGCCCATCCAATCAGACAGAGAGAAGTCCAGCAGGTGCAAAGGGTCTGAGGCAGCGCATGGGAAGGGAGGGGGCGAGGTGGGCTGGGCTTCACTTGGGGACCCCGGTGTGGGTTTCTGTCACAGGGAGGGGGCAGACTGAGTGGGTTTGGGGGGGCAATCCCATGATGCTCCTGGCTGGCTGGTGAGGGTGGAAGGAGGGGGGCTGGAAACAAAGACCACGCTGAGGCTCCCCACCCCCACACATGGAGAGGCCGGGGTCGAGGTTCGGGGCTCCTATCTCTGCGTCCAGGAGGGCAGGCAGCCCCTCTTTGTGCCCCAACGAAGTGGGGGTGATTTCTGCTGAGCACCTGCAACACGCTGGAAGACAGTGCCAGGCTGAGGCCCAGAGAGGGTCGGTTGCGAGCCACAGCAACCCAGCAGAGCAGTGGCAAAGCCGGGATGTGAACTCGGGCCGCAGGAGCGCTCTGAGGACTTCCGGGGCGGCTCCTGCCTGAGCCGTGCAGTCAGGGCTGGGGACCCCCCTCATCCTGCATGTGTTCACATGCACTCCTTCGCCTGTAGGGGGAGCCCAGCGCCAAGGCGGATGAGGGGGACAAGGGCGGCGCTGCAGAGGTAATGGCCCCGGCTTCCTGCGCCTGGGGCTGCAGACATGGGGGGGCCGCAGGCTTGGGGGGGCGCAGG